GCGAAACGCGGCAGCCAACTGCTCCGTCTCACAGTCGGGGATTGAGAAACAACACAAATAATTAAATAATCGAGTGCCGCAGGCAGATAGTTAAGGGGTTCAATCTAGATGGCTGATAGAAAGAAGAGTGCTGCAAACACAAGGCGATAATCGACAAAAACATTTGGAAAGAGTTATAGAGGCTTGTGGCCTTCTGAAACAAATGCAGTATTTGTACGAGCGACGTGAGGCGAAACCATTAATCTCAGGGCCGTTTGGGGGGGAAAAAAACAGCCACTGAAGGTATAAATTGAAACAAATACAAACCGCAAAAAGTTTTCCCCAAAAAGTGTTCGACTGAATATGAACGTCTTGCATTACTCCATCAAGGACTGTCGATAAATACCCCGTTAAATCTAAAAGCACAAATTCCTGTGCTGGTTATTTCACTGTAAAAGCTGCGCGTGTGTTTAAAAAAANGGGACGGCGCACGAAACTGTGAGCTCGCGACTCAAATTTAAGGGGATAATGGGTAAACGTGCGGTGCGGTACGGTCTGTGCCTCGTCACACCTGAAGAGCAATAAGATCCCTCATTTGCTTTTATCAATCACAGCCCATAAATTTAAAAGCCGGGTCCCGCTGGGGTCCAGTACGACACCACTATTCCCAGGAAAAGCTGAAGTCTCTGCCAAACCAGAGCAAAACTCATTTATCTTGTCCTAGAGAGCAATGGAGCATACACTTCCAGCTGACAGTGCGGCAGTTTCTCCTCACACACCACTGACTGTTCTGGAACATTCTGCTCCCCGAGCGGGTCTCAATCACTGAAAATACCGTAATGCTCGCGCTCCTCATTAGAATTAACAGCTGTCTCGACAGTTAAAAAGACCAGAGACCGTTCTGCATAACAATCTGCTGAAATCTTCCGCCAACGAATGAAAGTGCTACGCTGTAATTTAAGATTTTTTTTTTGAAAACATCCTAAAATAGCTCAAAAGACCGAAATGCTGGGTTTGATGGATTTCAGTGGGTTTCACCTTGAACGGGGTAGTGTTTCCGGAGTTTAACAGCCTAGATTTGGGGCGGACATACGCGTAAATATTTCACAGAAAACAATTTAAACGTTTCTGCAAACAGTTAAACTCTTATTTTATCATTGGTGCATCCAGAGCCACAAAATAGCGGCAATAATAATCATTGCATTAGATACAACAGCTTTCAAGCCAGGAGGACGTACGTCTCAATGCACTTCACGAGGGTTCACTGTAAAGCGAAGTGACTGCGCGTTTTTGCAGGAGAAATAAAAACACACGCTCCAGACACAGAAATGCGTTAAATGAAACTCAAATACTGTAACATAGAAAAACAAAAGTAAATTCACGGGACCTTCCTTTGAAGATTCTTAATGTCTTGTCACTTCGTTGCAATTTGGGGAAAAGCTTTCACTTATTTATCTCCCCTTTTAAAAAAATAACCACTTTTATATACTTGAGCTACAGCGTAAAAGCATTAACACCACTTACCGCACCTGCCCCGGAATCATGAGATGTACAGGCACAGCTTTAATCTGTTAATATTTCAGTGTCTACACTCCAAATCCTGAATGTTTTAGTGTTAACCAATGCTGCGTTAGCCTACAAAATGCTCGGTAAATCCCGTGAAGCAACTTGACGCGAAAGGCTTTCTATCAAATGCAATTTTTTTTCAAACTGTAGTTGCTGCTTTCTCTAGCAGCTGTTAGCCACGGTAATAGTGCTCCCTGCTGCAACACCCCTGAACCCCTGAACCTTAGTCAACGCCCTTGTAGTTCGTATTGGGACCCTCATGGATTGAACGCCCCTCTCCCTCAATCCCTCCGCTACCCCCCACTCCCTCCCGACCTTCAAATCCCACCCTTAAAGGCCTTCCATTTTTGATCGTGCTTATGGTCACCCCCACCTCCCTCTCCCCCTGGCTCGTTGCCAGACTCCGCCACCGTGATGTACTCCGGGACGCTACGCCTGAGTGAAGGGCTCTGTATAAATTCAAGTTGTTGTTGTTGCTGTTGAACGATTCTAACTGTCGAACCGCAGAGTCCACTTTGTTCCCTGACATTTAGTTAGCTCAACGCCTGTGGGTTGAAGGTGCGGATTGGATCGGCAGGTGTGCGTTTCAGGGCAGCCTGCTGAACGGCAGCAGGTTTCGAACACTGCTGGGTAATCAGTCAGTGACATACACGTGATTTTTACATCAAGATCGATTGAATTAGAACTGGAAACAATGACGCTTGTACGCAAGGTGGGATTTGTTCAAAACGGGTTAATACTGGGCGAACCCTCCACCGTCCAGGGTCTTGGGACGTCCTCCCGGGATGAAAGGCACGACATAAACACAATGTTGTTGTTGTTCTGGCTTTTCCTGCACTAAAAAAAACAGCGGCTGACATCTCGGTGGAATGCATTTCCCACGAACAGGAAGCATTGGTGATGTCACTTCAAACATCAGTTGGCATTTCCTGCTCGCAGCTTGCCCCATTTTGTAAGACGTTCCTCTTTTTTTAAGTTTTTTGTTCCTTTTTTAGGCTCAAGAGCCCTCATTCGAACGCTATCCGCGAGCCACAATGGGACTGAAAGGCCCGGAGAAAATTGTGGCGATACAAATGGAATGCGTAGGAAGCGGTTCCTTCCCTGGATGTTTTGAGTTCCGACCAAAGGAAAAAAATCTTGGCTCTGTACTCTGCTAACTGGGCAACATTACAAATACACTCGGCAAGTGCTTGCCACCACGTTCGTACCAGCCGCGCGGAGTTTGGTTCATAACCACAAGAGTGGACGTGTGAAGTGTCAAAAGTAATTTGCGGTGTCAGTATCAGCAACAAAAAAGGTGCAGGAGACATTTCAAGCCGTACCTACTTCGGGACAGGAAAACTATGAAACAACTGGAGGTCATGCTATAAATCAGATGCTAAGAGATCAGGGCAAGGAGGCATTGCAGATGCTCCATGGTTAGGAAGCGTAAGTTTCAGGCCAGACTGGGACATCATTTACAAAGCAGGTAATTAACAGCTGCCTGGGTTACCAGGGACGACGACGACGACAACAACGTGCACTTACATTGCACCCTCCACGCAGGGCACCGTCTCAGAGCGTTTAACAGTGGCGGAGCCAGACTCCGAGCTGGTGGCGGGGGAGGTGGCCGTTAAGCACGGTCGAAGAGGAAGGTTTTCAGGCGGGACTTAAAAAAGCGGGGGGGAGAGGGAGCAAGGCGGAGGGATTGTGGGAGAGTGTTCCAGAGTTTCGGGGCGTAGTGGCTGAAAGTACGACCTCCGATGGTGGGGCGGAGGGTGCGAGGGATGAGCGAGCAGGAGGCCGGTGCCAGTCGAGCGGAGGTGCTGATCGGGTGGTGGATTTGAACACGAGAGTGAGGATCTTGAAGTCGATCTGTTCAGTGTTGGGTACTGTTGGGTTGGTCTGGCCTGAAACTTACGCTTCCTAACCATGGAGCATCTCCAATGCCTCCTTGCCCTGATCTCTTGGCATCTGATTTATAACATTACTTCCAGCTGATGGTTGTTCATAGTTTCCCTGTCCTACAGTAGGTACAGCTTGAAATGTCTTCTGTACCTTTTTGTTGCTGATACTGATACCGCAAATTACTTTGACACTTTACACATCCACTCTTGTGGTTATGAACCAAACTCCACACGGCTAGTTCAGTGGAGCCTGGGCCAGAACTGGTGAGATGTGGGTACGGAGTTTGGTGACATATCCGCAGACATGGGGTCAACTTCCATGTTTGCGGATGACACCCAACTGTATCTTTCTGCCTCCACCCTCAACTGCAGGAACACTGCTGTCCTGACAGACTGCCTGTCGGACATCAAGTTCTGGATGAGGGCAAATTTCCTACAGTTGAATGTGAACAAGACTGAGGCCCTCCTGATTGCCAGCGCCTCAGCACCTCAGCTCTGGCAGCATCGACCTCCATGGTTGCTCACTACAACTCACCAACTCACCAGCCAGTCAGGAACCTGGGTGTCTTGTTCGACTCTCAACTGTCTTTTCTCCCCCACATTCAAGCCATGACCCACTCTGCCTTCCCTCACCTCCGTAACACCACCCGACTCTGCCACTACCTCACCCCTCAGGCCGCTGAAACTCTTGTTCACCTCCAGGCTCGACTATGCAAACGCTCTGCTTGTCGGCCTTCCCAACTCCTCCCTCCACAGCTGCAGATAATCCAGAACTCTGCAGCCCGTGTCCTCTCCTGCACCAAACTCGTGACCAGATCCTTGACCGTGACCGGGTCAGTATGCGGGCAGCAGAGTGGTATCTTGGTACACAGTCGGTTGGGTGGGTAATGCAGAAGAATAAGAAGCGGTTCAAAACTCGCTCTTCGTTTGAATCTCTCTTGCGATCTTGGAAAATAAAACCATTTATTTTATCCCTAACTATGTTTAAAGCATCGGTGAGTTATTAAACCTTCAGAAATGCTATATCAAATGCAGGGATTAGTATTGAATGTCGAGCAATAAAATGGAATTTAGCCTTCGCAAGGTTGACCTTAAGGACTTTCACCAGCAGAACAAATATAATGTATGAGCTCCATCCAGTGGTTGAAATCTGTGCGGCAACTTGGAAAGAGCTTATGAGAGATCCGAATCCGGGTGAAACACAGCTGCCGGTTTGCGTACAGCAATATCCTACAAACAGCCACGGAGTGAGTGACCGATTTTATTGCTGGCCAGAACACTGGGAGGAACTTGCACAGATCCCAGTGCAATGGGATCTCTGGACATCAAAGAACTAATGTTGGTCATTTTCTACCTGAAATAGGCTGGCGTGTTCTGTGTCTTCATACAACACGTGTGAGCGAGCACTTCTGATGTTACACTGACGGAAGCAGGATTTTTATTTCTGCCAATGTATTGTTAGTAAGAGGAATTCCAGAAGAAATTGGCACCTTTTGCGAGGTTTCCAGAAATCGGGTTAAAGAAATCAGACTCCGACCCTTCGCTGGTTAAAAGGACTGAGGTACTCACTCGGTGTGCCCCTGAAAGACGTTGACCGAGTGGATTGAAGGGTCTCGGAAATCCCAGAGACGGAAGGTGGTGTCACGCGACGATGTCACTACGAGCCGCTGAGACGGGTGAGTACAGCAATGAGTCAATTCTTGGTCATGTCCTGCGACAAAGAAACCAGAGGCAAAAATTATCTTACAAAATAAGAACAATTACCTTCATTATGTGTAACTTAACAATTCTAGCAATCTCTTGCTGAGGTGTATATATATATATATATTATATATATATAAAAACTGACAGACTTAATTTATATAAAAGCTAATCACGCAAGAAAAAAGTACCGTTGGACATCTTTCTCCGTTAAATAGCACACACTTCCGAGTTACATTTATCTCCTCTAAAACCAACCAGATACAGACTATTGGGGGATTTTTTTAAAGGGAAAAAACACAATTGTTGTAGACAGACTCGGGCTAGAATACTCGCTAAATGTAGGACGAGGATTGCTCCTGGTTGCTCCTTGGTCAATCCTTCCAACTGTAGTATTTTTCACGTCTGTCCAAAATACAACAATAGAATTTGCAGAACAACGTCGCTGGTCTCTACCGCCCCCCCACCCCACCCCATCAAAAAACAAAGCTGGTCCACAAACAATGAAGGACAACTTCAACGAGCCTCAGAATTAACTTCACTAAATGTTTCAGGGATTAAAAGACATATGAAAAGGGCTGGACTCTCTCTCAGTAATTTAGCTTCGTCAGCATCATATCCCAAAGCTCTTTAGGAATCTTTGCAATGGAATCTCGTCGTGAACTCAGAACTATGTTGAGGGTAAAACCGAGGAACAGAAGCTGAAGTGAAAATGTGAAACTAAGTGAACACTTTAGGGTGAAAAACACGTCAGCTTCTGTTCCTCAGTTTTACCCTCAACACAGTTCTGAATTGAAGACGAGGTTCTGCCAGGAAGCCAAAAATAAACAAGGCCACTTGTTAATTCCATTGATAGGGGAGTCAGTGACTCAGAGACCATAATTATAAGATAGTCACAAGAACAGGGAAACAATGTTTTCACCCAGAGAGTTGTTGGAATGTAGACTGCCCTGCAAAGTCGGGTTATGGAGTCAGAGCCCATTATAGCTTCCAAGAGGGAAGTAGACGGGGATATAATAATAAAAATAATAATAATCCTTGCAATTGATATATGTCGTACAGACAGCTCAAAGTGCTCCACAGCATATTCTGTAAAGCGGATTGACTGTGTACTTTGTGGGCGAAATGAAAGACAGTGGCTTGAAGGGGTATGGGGATAAGGCAGGGTGTTGGGATTGAATTCATCTCCTTGCTCTGTGACCTGGCGTGGACTCAGTTGGCCAAATGGCCTCCTTCTGCGCAGCGGATTTCGGTTCTAACTTCGCCGTAGCTTGTACTTCAACAACTCTGCAGCTGGAGCTCATGGCGCCAAGAGTGCCGTCAGGGTCGACAGGAACGTTCGTTCGGTCACAAGAAGTAAAATGGTGGCTACGTGAAATAACTTGCAGATCCCGAGACTGAATCAAAGAAGATGGCTGTGAGACAGCCGTTTCTACCCGCCCTGCATCAAGCGGCGTCTTAAAATGATGGCATCCCGAGGTAAACGGTTTGTGAAATATTGATATGGCTACTGAGTGCAGTCGAACGGAACAAAGCTTTAAACCAAGGTTTAAAAGAGACTGTAAATATTCCAGAATAAATGGAATGTCACAGGACGGTGGATTGATGGGACTGTCAGCCGTCCAGTGAACAAACCTTTCACACTTTAAACTGTGCGTTCCATTAGTAGATGTCTAACACGTTCCCATTAAAGTGTCAACCTCCAAATGTTGGATCGCTGTTCAAACGTTCTAACAGCCTGGCTCAATGAGACAGGTTGCCGATAATCGGGTGATCCAGACAACCCCAGGTTTGTGACGGAAGACCTCTACACTGGGGGACAGTGAATGCATCCACAATGGTTGTGTGAGGGCGTGGGTGGGGGAGAGGTTAAGTACATCAGCAAAAAACCTATTTGCGGGACCAGTACAGGATTACACTGCATGGAAACTGTCTCGATTATGAACCGACTGTTGACGACACTCCTGCACAGAACTTGGCTATACCACGTTTGCCGACAAAATACACTTTGTACAGGAAAATCCGTGAAAAGCGCCACATCAAACGCTAGGATTATCACAAACATTACCTTGCTGCGTTCTGTCCTCATTTTCTGCGTTCTTCCCACAGAGCGTGAGGAAATGCTTAGAGAACACTGGAACACTGGTCGTAAGCGACTCGTCTCCCAACAGATGGACCCTGGTCTTCGAGGAGAATAATAATCCTTGCGTTTGATACAGCGCCGTATCACATCTTCGAGACGTCTCAAAGCACTTCACAGGATATACTGTAAAGTGAGTTGACTGTAGATTTTGTCGGCGAAACGCGGCAGCCAAAAACGCACAGCAGCGACCCCACAGTCGTGGATTGAGTGACCAAATTATTTTTTTTTGAGGGATTATTATCCCCGGAAAAGCAATCCGCCATTCGACTAACAACCGGGTTCCTACTTACTGCTAGGTAAACAGAGGTGTATGGAGTAAGGAAACTTGCCTAACATTTCGCCCTGCCTGGGAATAGAAGCCAGGGCTCTCGCTTGCGAGGCGAGTGCTCTAACCACTGAGCTACAGGACGAGTGTGTGTGTGTTGTGGTGGTGGGCGGGGAGAAACAAAGAATGAAGGCATTATCCAGTATTGCAGAGACACAATTGGGTATCCTGTAGTCCTGAAGGGTCTTGGGCTCTGCAGATGGATGTTCCCATTTGTGAAGGTGACCTCTCATTCCTTTGAGATAACCTGGAATTCCCAACTTCAGTCAATTTCTGGGTCAAAAGGGGACACCCTGAGGTTGATGTACCAACATATTTATTATTGGAAATGCATCATTACAGATTGACTGTGAACACCTCCTGACCCAAATATATATATACCTCATTACTGACTGCGCCTTGGGACGTCCTCCTGACATGAAAGGCGCTATACAAATGTAACCTTGTTGTTGTTGTACTAAGGCATCGTCTGTCTACAAGTGAGCTGATTTGCTGAATGAGCCCTGAAATTCTCCAGTCCCAGACAGACTGCTCTCAAGAAGTTGAGATACCAGCTTCATTGATTTCGGACATGCCCATCCATGCAGTCAGATGCCTCCTTAAGCTATGGCTCTCGCTCCTACATCTAGCTCAACCTCTCCTGCCGATTGCAGGGTGCAGCTTACAACAAATTCTCCAACATTGTGCATTCTCAGCGTGAAGCAGTGATCAGGCAGGTTGCATTGAGTCGTCGAGAGTCCCATTGGTAACAAGGCTGGATTTTTCCTTTACCCAGCATAATTTTCTATTATTCCAGCTATCTTCTTCCCTCCCTTCCCTGGGAAGGCAGTGTCCAACATAGCCGCCCAAAGCAGGCCCAGCTGAGACCAGCAAACCCAGCATAGCTCGACATTACCATCGATCTCTGGGTCTGTAAACTGCAGCTACATCTGCTACACCCAACTTCACCCGTACCTGTCAGAGAATGCACCAGCTCAGACGTTTCTACATCATAAAGGTTGGCAGTTCTGTCCCAGGATGCCGTGACCACCTGTTTGCCCCCAACCAGCCAGTCAGCTGCTATGACCACACCCTGATGACTCTTCAGTGTCGTTGATGGAATTCGGATTGTCGGGCATTCATTGGGACCCTCGGCATCGCCATCTGCTTCATCTTTATCTGAGAAGTCAACTTCATCCTCCCCAGACACTTGCTACGATGGAAAGAAGAGAGAATTGAGAGCACTTGAAGACACAAGATTGGACGCAATGTAGCAGTAGCTGATGTGTGCAGCAGGTCATAAAGACGAGTCCAACTGAACACCTGCGACACCATGTCAACAACTACTATGTGAACACGTACAGAAGTCTGATACGCCAAATCGCATGTTCCAATTACAACAACTTGCACTTATATAGCGCCCTCCATGCAGTGTAGTGTCTCAGAGCGCTTAACAGTGGGGGAGCCTGACTCCGAGCCAGGGGGTAGGTGGGAGGAGGGGGTGGCCGTAAGAGGAAGGTCTTCAGACGGGACTTGAAAAGGAGTAGAGAGGGGGAAAGGCAGAGGGATTGAGGGAGAGCGTTCCAGAGTTCCGGGGCGTAGTGGCTGAAAGCGCGACCTCCGATGGTGGGGGGGAGGTTGCGAGGGACGAGCAGGAGGCCAATGCCAGTCCATTGGAGTCGCTGGGTGGTGGATTGGGGAGTGAAGAGGTCGGAGAGGTAAGAAGGTGCCAGAGAGGGAAGGGGACATTGCGACATAAAGAGCTACTATTACTCACGCCTGACCACCTACTCATTTCATGAAAGTTCTGCATAACCACTTCCCTGAACACCATGGGCAACCTTCAGAATAATAAATAATTATCCTAGCAATTGATATAGCACCGACCACATTAAAACACCTCAAAGTGCGTCTGTTTTTTTCCTCTGTAAAGAGTAGTGACTGTATTCGCTGGCAAATAATCATCAAATAATAATCCTTGTATTTGATATAGCGCCTTATCATGTTGTCTCAAGGCGCTTCACAGAATATGCTGTAAAGTGAATTGACACTAGATTTTGAGGGTGAAACGGAGCAGCCAAATGCACACAACAATGTCCCACAAACAGTCATGGAATGAGTGAGCAAATTAATATTAGTATTATTACTTTGGAGGGATTATTACCCCCGGAAAAGTGATCCTCCAAGTGACTCACAGCCAGGTTCCTACTTACTGCTAGGTAAACAGAGGCGTGTGGAGTAAGGAAACTTGCCCAAGGTTTCACCCTGCTGGGAATTAAACCCGGGTCCTCTCGCTTGCGAGGCGAGAGCTCTCACCACTGAGCTGCAGGACTCCACAACCCATTTCATTGTTCAAAACTGGTCTCTTCACTCGATAGCCAACATTTCTCCCAACAAAAAAATCAGTGTGTCCCAATCAACATTTGATCAACTCACTCTTTTCCTGATATCCTCCAATAGTCAGACAGGTGCTTATTCAGATTTATTTGCGTCTTTTTTTTTGGAGGGGTGGGGGGTGGGGCGGGATTTGCTTTTGTTGGGAGTCTGCTCTGCAGATCCATCATGTGCGCAAAAACAAATTAATTTCTTCTCCCAATTGAGACTTGCATTTTAAACCGATGCCCTCCAGTTCTGCTCCCAGAGTGCAAGTCAGATAAGGCTGATTACACTACTATCTACACCACTCCAAACATTTTATAAATCTGAATTATGTGCCTCCCACGATTGTCTCTCTCCTGATGAGAAGTTCCGCTCAGTTAGCCTCTCTTCTCTCTAGGCGTGGAATCATTCTTTTTGCTCTTTTATGAACCCTCTCTAATACTTCAATGCACTTTGAAAGGTTGCCAAGGTTCCAAACAATATTCCAAAAATGCCCCCTAATCAGTGATCTATACAAGGTTGGAGTAACTTATTTCACCTTAAAGTTAAATGCTCCGAAAATTCAATAGGGTTTGATTAAATTTGTCGTCAGCCACCTTAACACCGACCGGAAACCTTCAGTGAACAATCAATAATCACACTCAAACACTTTTCTTTCTCTGCAAACGGACATTTAATTTTGCACATGTTCGCAGTTCGCTTCCCAATCAGTATTAACTTACAATTACATATATTAAAATCCATTCGCAGTAGCTTATTGCTTTCCTTCATCTAATAGACGAATGGTGCTGAGGTGGCCCCTGGGGGGGTTGAGAGGAGGGGAAGTAAGGGAAGGAAAATCTTGCCATCAAAATAATTGAAAAAGAAAGATCAGATTTATTAAATGATCCTGGAGTGCATTTACTTGACACAGAAAACGTTATGCAACCTTTACGAGGTTTAAAAGCAACTTTACTTAAGGTCCACGCTGGATAAAAGACACTTTCTGACAACCCAAGAAAATGCAAGACACTGCAAAGTGGATGAATTATAGTATATTCTGTGAAGTGCTTTGAGATGTCTAGAAGATGCAGTAAAGCGCTATATCAAATGCAAGAATTATTATTATTATTATTATCGTGGAGTCCTGTAGCTCGTGGTTAGAGCACTCGCTTTGCAAGCGAGAGACCTGAGTTCAATTCCAGGCAGAGGGCGAAACCTTGGGCAAGTTTCCTTACTCCACACAGAGCCTAATAATAATCCCTCCAAAACCAAAAACAATAATAAATTGGTCATTTTCAATCTACGACTGTTTGTGGGACATTGCTGTGCGCAATTGGCTGCCGCGTTCGCCCACAAATATAGTCAATTCACTTTACAGTGTGTTCTGTGAAGCGCTTTGGGACGTCCTCCTGACGTGAAAAGCGCTATATTAAATGCAAGGATTATTATTATTATTATTATCTACTCACTTTAAAGAGCACACAAGGCTTTTGGGAGGTGGAGAAGGATTATCTTGTCACACCGCAAATCATATTCCGACTGCACCCAGTCTCCCACCTAATTGACTTCAAGATCCTCAATCTCACCTACAAATCCTTACACACCCTCACCCCTCCCTAACTCAATCACCTCCCCGGGCTCTCTCTTCTGCTTATCCCTCTGCTCGACAAACTCAGGCCTGTTCCACATTCCTCACGCTCACCAGGCCACCATCGGCAGCTGAAGCTTAAGCTACTATGCGCCCACCTGGAACATTCTCCTTAAATCCCTATACCTCACCCCCTCTCCACTTGTCTTCAAAAAGTTCCTGAAAATCTACCTCTTCACCCATGCTAATGGCCACCTCCATTCTCCCCTCCCTTCTCAGTGACCGCAGTCACTCTAGAGATCTTCGAGACCTCAACCCGATTCATACGGCTCTAGAAAACCCAGGTTGTTGGAAGATGCGTAAACAGTCATTTCCATCCACTCAGGCATCTGTTAAACAAAATGAATTTGTTTGAACAAAGAGCCCCAGGGTTTAACAGACGAAGCAAAGTACTGCTCCCTAAATGTAATAGTTTGGATCACCAAAAACAGGCCCAACAAAGAAATATGAAGGCTTTTTTAAAAGGCGCATACATGATGATTTTTGGCCCGCACAAAAACATTTACTTACACTTGGGTCAGTCACAGGCTGTGGGGTGGGCAATTGTACGATGTATCGCCAGATGTGAGCGGTCTGATCGCCAGATGCTTTAAGTCAAATACAGATAGTCTTAAGAGGTCAATCATTGTAACATCCTTGGGTACAAGTGTTAATATAGCATTTTTAAATTAGACGCAAAAAAAGCTCACGTAAAACAGAAATAACCATTTTGCATCATTAAAAACAGGCAAATAAGCACAATAGCGCTTGGATCCTTTTTGAATTGATGCCATGATTTTGAAGCGGCAACCTCCTGTGGTCCTGTTACTTAACTGACGCTCAAACGAAGGTGCAGGTGAGAGTGCCTCATACCAACTTAGCTGATAACCACGCTTCCATTTACCTACACTGGAACTGAAGTGAAGAGGCACTAAAATGGCTAACGTGAGAGAGAATGGCAAATACACGGTGGTACTATATTGACCCCACATCTCCTGATCACATTTTTAACCTCTTTTCTGGGTATCTGATGCATGCAGAAATCTATCACCATGTTAACCTATTTCATTACACGTAAGCTGGTCCTAAGTAGTGTCGATAGCTGGCTTACATCAAATGCTGAACAAAACGATGAAAACAAATTCTTACTGATTTCTTCATAAGTTTTAATCGTTGAAAGAAATCAAACTTTATGATTACAAATACAATTTTAGTTTATCCTTACAGAAAATGACAGCTACAAATAAGGATTGAATTTTAAATGCAGCACAAAACATCATCGGTCCATTAGCTGAATTTAGGGCTTTAAACCACAATGCGTTTTCAAGACAATCAGAAACTTCTGAATAACCAATTTATGTGAACACGTAGATATTGCCGAAATGGTGATGTGTGTAGACTATTACACCATCTAATGGCTTTATATAATAAATTGATTGCAGCCCCAAAGAAGGGGCACCACCAAAGTAGGTGCAGTTAGTGCATGAAGAGATGTCCAAACAGAAATCAGCTGCTCCCTGAATGAGGACCCAACTTTTTACTTGATGCGGATGATTCTTTTTGTAGCAACACAATATACCAACATCACAAGCCTCCCTGTGACACTGGCAGATCCTCCCTTATGAATAGAGTTCATAAATGGAGTTCTGCTCTTTACTTGACACAGAGAGGGACGTGTTGTGATTCCAATCACAGCCATAAGCGGATTCTGATTAAGACTTGCTATATAGGACATGGCTCGTATGAACCTTTGTGCTGCCACTCAAAAAGCCTTAGAAAGATAAGAATGTGATCAGTGGAGAAAAAGAGAAAAGGTTAATTGAGCTAGTCCCAAGGTGATGTGTTTCCCCGAGTAGCCTATTCACACATTCACATGCTGTGTGCCCAAAAGTTATTTAATTCTGAACTATCTGTCCTCTTCTGAACGATAGATCGTAATCAAATTTAACAGGTCAGTTTCCACTGGGCAAAATGTTTAGTAATTGTCATCGTCACACACTAGTCTGCTCGGTTTAATTTACTGCCTATTATTTAAGATGGGGAAACATAAATATTATACCCATACCGTAAGCATTTTGCTACGTGTGATGTAAGATTAAGAAACAAGAGTTCAGTGTTTTCCGGATGTAACAGATGGTCTGAATCTGCCTTCAGACTTTCTTGAGAAATCACGAGCATGCTTCCCTCACATAGTTTAAGAATCATCACGGTCAAAGTGTCGCGATATGCCACAGTATCACACTCATTTCGCCATTTTAAGCAGATTTGATGCATTTTATACATGAAACACTCCCCCATAGCGTACCTGTGAGAGCAACTTGTTCTGAAGGATGAAACTTGATAGAATTCACTAAAAAAAAAGAATATCAATATATCTCAATTTCTTAGCACTATCTTTTTTTAGAAAACAATCGTTTTAAAGCTATTTTAACCAGAAGCTGGTTTAATACAGTTTTTTTTTAAGTCACATGCAGAAAGCATCAATCACCATGCTTTAGAAAAACAAAACAAAAACAGACGTGAGTTCCACGTAAGCACATCAGGGACACATGACAATTTAAGAATAGTTTTTCTCCTTCACAATTTCTAGAAAAGCTGAAATGCCAATGCTTCTAGTTCAGCACCTCAAGAGACTTTAAAGCCATTCTCTTAACTTGACCGAAAGCATTTAACATCATTGTACTTGTATTTTAACCTCATCTGCTAGAACCAGTTACTTAGACATGCAGTTCTAGATTATCCAACCAAAATCATCCAAATACCTATGCTGAATTTAACAAACTCACCTGACCCAGCATGTCCCATGTATTTGAGAAGACATTTTCCTGTCTCAATGCTCCATAACATAGCACTGTGATCTTTGAACAAAAACAAGACAATTGTCGGTAATAACAAAATCAATTACTGTACTTCTTCCTAAGTGATTGTGCTTTACCAGGTCTAATTATCTCAACAGTGAGCATAGTATTTCCTCGTAAACGCAAGACAAAAACATTTAGAATGCCAGCATCGATATGACTGAAGACGGAGGAGAAGTTACATGACCTTATTAGCATGTACTTAAGGTCCTGCTGCAGGCATATTAATTGATGAAAGTTTCCAAACTTGGGAATAAAGGGCTAGGATATTGCAGAACAATAAAAATATACCACACTGTAGAAGGCCAATTATTTTGTGTCAATGTTTCTCCAAGAAGCCATCCATCCTAATGCCAATTCCATGCACTTTCTAATCTGTTTGTACCTTCTAATACGCTTTGCCTGCATGTGCTTGTCCACTTTTTTGTTAATTGCCCCAAATCTGCTCTAACAGGCAATTAGAACTGGCAAATAATTTTATATCCTGATTACACTGACGGAAGAAATTGTACTGAACCACTCCTTTTACTCCCCTAGTCAGTCTTGAATTTGTGCCCTCTTCTCCTCAAATCCCCGACCAGCAGAAAGTTTTTCTTCCCACAAAATTAATTCTTTTAAACCCTTATCTTCAAGTACCTTCATCGTATCACCGTTCAGCCTTTCTGCTCAAACAGGAAGAGTCTCAATATTTCTAGCCACTCCTCATACCTATAGGTTTCTAGGATCATCCCCAGTGAATTTATTCTGTACTCTCTCCTTAGCTGTAATATCTCATTTCTACCGTACCCAAAGCTACATTCAGCAGCAACCATAACCAGTGTCATACAGATTCATCATCACTTATTTACTTTTGTATTCAATGGCTCCATATGGAAAACCCATAATCTTGTTTGCCCTTTGAACAGTCAATTTCCACTCGTAATCCCACTTTTAACAAACTATGCTTTTGTACCTGGAAGATCTCCCACCCCTGTTCTTCCATTCCATCCCGCCAGCCAGGGTATAATATCCCTCCCCATTCTTTCTCCAAAAATGCACCACTTTATTTTTTAGTGTACTGAACTCCATTTTTTTTTAACAAATCTGCCCACTCCGTAAACCTGTCATTATGTGCCTGGAGTTTCCTGCACTCTTCAAGTCAGCCGCGTGTCTGATACAAGCAGAAACCTAACGCCACGCTTCAGAGTACCCAAACCAGACCGAGAGCCACCTACAAATAGAAATTCCTGTGTGTCTGGAATGCAAGGCTCTGCTTGCCCAATTCCCAAGGCAAGTGAGTCAGGGCTAACGCACTCTTAACTTAGATCAACTTCCTGGGTGTTGGATGAAGATGGCCAATCTCAGGATTGTATTGACGAGCCTAATTCAGACCAATGGATGAATGGATCCTGGAGACTTTATTTTAGATTTTAAACATTTTCGAAAAGGGGTATCCGTTCTAGCAGGAACCCCCTCGAAAACGCTATGTGCGGTTCGAATCACAAGCGCGATGCCAAATGAGCAACCGCGAAACGGGTAAAAACGATTCCGCGGACCGAGAAGGTGACGCTTGAATCCGATCGCTCGTTTTCATAGAAGAAATGAAACGTTTCGTAGCCCCCTACTGAGCGTTTCGTTTTGCGCAACAATCGTTTCGCACAAAGTGACGCTGAATAAAACGCGCCCTTGTGAAACGTGCGGGAACCGGGACTCAATCCCAGTGTAAATAATCATGGCAAGAGGTTAGGAGAACATTGAGATAAAGGTAGAATGTTACCAGCTGATGCTGTGCCCAGCACCACAGGCTGTGATCGTGTAACGCTGACGTCCCAAATCCCATCCCTGTGTCCTACGTACTCTTTCACCAGCTGACAGACCGCTCTTGAAGTCGTCGTCTTGAAACTCGACACAATCTTGAAAATAAGGGTTCACAACTTTTCAGGCTACGACATTAGTCGATCTACGGCACGCAAGTCTGTGTGTGTGTGTGTGTGTGTGTGTGTTTGACGGCAATTTTCAGAAGCCAGCCAACCTCATCTCAGACACGGATTAATTTATTCAGAAAACGTTACTGGTTTTCAACAGCGATTTGCACTGTTTTGCGCCAAAAAGTTCAGTTCCCCTTGATAAATAGTTTGAGACAGATTCACACGAGAATATGTTTGGATGTCCAAAATACCTTCGTCAGTGTCGGGACCTGTGACAAGGAATTACTTCAGGGGCTAGTATTTTCTAAAAAAAAACTTTGATATATTCCGAGTACACTCACGCCCTGAAGCAGAACTTGAAATTAATCAGTTGAACAGTCACAGCTACAAAAAGACAATCAGGAAGAATTGCCACTGGATATATTTGGCCTTTCAGAGGAGTTCGGTGAAATTAATAACAGTTCTGCATGGTGCTTACACAGAAACTGCAATTGAATACCTCTTTACTACTGCATCTCACCACCATAGTTCTGTGTTATACACCATATAAAATCAAAGTAACCAAAGGATTGCAAAGCCACATTGTTCAGGCAGGTGATGAAAAGGGGATTGGAGTTATTGCTGAATGTTAAACACTGCCAAATATGCACAATGTGTAGCTCTGCTTGTTTTTTTTGCTTCTGATCAGAATTAGAGGATCGAGTGGCAGCAGCACAAAAAAAATTGTAGAACCTGCATTTTTCTTTAATGACAGTTGAGTTCCTGGCTAACAATAATCCCTCCAAAAAAGAAAACAATAATAAATTTGTCATTTTCAATCCATGACTGTTTGTGGGGACCCTGCTGTGCGCAATCGGCTGCCGCGTTTCGCCCACAGACATACAGTCAAGTCACTTTACAGCATATTCTGTGAAGCGCTTTGAGAAATCTAGAAGATGTGAAAAGCTCTGTATCAAATGCAAGGATTATTATTATTATTTCTTCAAATGATTTTAAGACACAAAGTGCAACCATATCGCCCTAATTCAGTGTCATTGCTTTCAAGTGTTAAGTTGCTTTGAAAAGCTCTGTTATGTAATCGATGTGATATAAATGCAAGTTGTTACAATGGAATGATGTACAGATGAACCATTAGATGTTTACATTAACTGAAACACGAGACTCCGACTTTACTCAATAAATTCCTGAATCTCAATCAATGCATTTTACTTAAAAGCTTATGAAATAGGCCCAACTTTTGAATGTTCTTGGAAATGGAAATGTCTTGTTGTAAATTTCCAATAATTTACAAACCTAGAGCACATTTTTCACATTCATTAATATTCGCTGAATAAATGCCAAAAATGTTTTTCTCAATAAATATTGAGAATTGATTGATTGATTTTATTTGGGGGAATACAAAATCTAAAAAAAAAGGGGAGCTTTACTCAGTCAGTCAATGTTGATATTTAACGCTGGTTCAGCTGCCTGAAAAACTGCACAGACAAACTGAGAGGCACATCAATGCAGTGTGTAAAGGCAGAAATACACCAACAACACAGAAACAACCCCAAGCATATAAGCCCAATTATATAATAATAATCCTGGGATTTGATGTAGCTCCTTATCACATCTTCAAGGCATCTCAAAGCGCTTCACAGGATATACTGTAAAGTGAATTAACTGTATAGTTTGTGGGCAAACCGCGGCAGCCAATTGTGCACAGCAGCGTCCCACAAACAGTCGTGCATTGATCGAAGTGACCGATTTATTATTATTTTTTAAAAGGAATATTACCCCCGGAAAAGCGATCCGCCAATCGACTAACAACCGGGTTCCTACTTACTGCTGGGTAACCAGAGGCGTGTGGAGTAGGGAAACTTGCCCAAGGTTTCACCCTGCCGGGAATCGAACCCAGGTCTCTCGCTTGGGAGACGAGTGCTCTAACCACTGAGCTACAAGACTCCAATTCAGCTGCTGTCTGGGATATGAAGTCCGAAAACCTTACTTTTTTATCTGCCAAAATGTGGGTTTCGAGGAGGTAGTCACTGCAAGCTCCTAAGACAGTGGTTTATTCAGAAACCGCACATAAGAATTAAATATACGATTCCCTGATTTTCACACTTTCAACAACCAAATTTCGATAAAATCAAAATTGATTGACCAGCCATAACAAATGTCCAGCCGATGCAGTCAGCTGCTTCTCTGATTAACTCAAGGCAGCCGTCTTGTCCTTCAATCAAGCAGTCTAGCCTCAATTTCACGCTACTGTGATCTTGCGTATTCATTAAATATTCACTACTTATTTCATTAATAATTGGTTATTAATCTTGAATTCTTCAACAGTGCAGTTTAAATTTTTTTTTAATGCTTTAGGCATTTCAGATTTCACATGCTGATTTCATGGAATAAACAGACAGGCTTTGTATCAAGGCAGCTTCAGCTAAATCTTGATACCTTAACATGTCCAACTGTTTTATAATTCCATTGTATTTCTAGTAATAAGCAAAAATATTAAAAGAAAATTCTACGATTGCTGACTTGGGGTAACCTGTAGAAGATAATTCACAGAAAAGATACCAATTGAATGTTATTTTCCACTATTAAACAGATTTTTTTTCTCGAAAAAACAGTGTTATTACATACAAGATTCACAAAAAGTTTGCCCGAAATGACCAGCTCATGCTGAAAGCATTCTTTTTATTAGAACAACAAAACGGTCCACAAGTGCAGCAGTTAAAAGCACAAGTCTCGTGTTAGAAAGGCAAAGGGCACTGGCAATAAATGGATACGGAAAATTATCCGTTCATTAAAAATACATAAAGGGACCAACAAACCATTTGAAAGACCTTCATGTGAATTAGTCAATTAGTTAAAATACACACACTCAGCATTCAAGTGTTATTTGATGCTGCATGTCAGTTTTCAGTAGCAAAGATAGTGGCTTCAATTGACAGTAATTTTAAAAGAAATTGAATGGATTAAATGTAAAATAAGTTTTTTTTGGGGAGGGGGGAATAAGTCTCAAGTTAAAACTATAATTTCTGAGAAGTCCCAAGGCTCTGAACTGTCAGGAATTTGGACCCGAGTGGGGAGGGAGACGTGGGGGACGGGGGGGGATTGGGATCAGTGGTGAGATACTAAGTTCGGTGAGACTAATGATGGGATACTTCGAATTTAAAAACCCGATATACAAATTAATGTGTTAATTTGTTGCTATTCATTTTAAGATTTTCTCTCGTCACATTTGACTCTGTTTAAAAGAAATTAGACCCTGAAAATTAGATCAGGAGCTTTACAACAATGAGGATATGTTGAAGCCTACACATTGCACAAAATAGGGACTGATCAATCAGCTGTCTAGTGGATGAAAAACACCTTTTATCGTTAAACTTGATATCTTAGTACAGAGATGTGGGAAAGGGGGGAGAAGACCAAAGCCAGAAACACTCTCTCTCTCTCACACACCCACAGGTCAACACTACCACTGTATGGCAACATCAGGCACTGCAGAAAGAAGACAAATGCATGAGATGTTTTCAGTGAAAAATGATCAGTCCTTTAAAAATCACACTGGACGAGAGCCATTCCTACATGTTCGAACTAATCCCACTCAGGGAGAAAGGGGTAAAAAAAAAAGTTGAAGGTGAGGGTGGCACAGTTGGAAATATAGGCCTTAAGTTGGGCTTTGAAACTGGAACAAAAGTCTACAATACACACTCACGCACCACGTACATACACACACACACACACGATACACGTGAATATTTATAATTATTGCTAATCGGCTCTCTATCAGCAGCGGCAAGTTGCATGCACGCATCTACAAGGTCTGTTGGACAACTTAGCTTCAAGTTTGGACAACTTAGCTTCTTCTGTACTGTTAGTGAACTACATAGCTGTCGATCAACTTAACATTTTACAACAATCCTTTTAAAATTAATCTCGAGGAGGCAGATTTATTAATTTAGGTTCCATGTACTCTGTGTTAAGGGACCATATCTTTCTCTCTCCCCCCACCGCCACCCCACCACCGTTTGAAAGAAAAGTTGCTGGCACAAATTGAATGTCACATAACCTACCGAACATTCACTTTACTTAGGAAAACAGGAATAGGAAGAGGCCATTCACAGATTCAGCCACTCAGATCATCAAGCCTGTTCCACCGGTTTATTAGATGTGGGCAGAGTTATTAATCCCACTGCCCAGTACTTTCTCCAAACCTTTACTACCCAAGGAGCTACCAATTTCTGTTTGAACACTACATTGATTCTACCTCCACAGCTGGAATGGGGCAGATCATTCCACGTCTTCACCCGCCTCTGTGTGAACAAATGCTTCCCCGGCCTCATTTCTGAGTCGGTTCTGATTTTAAGGTTACGCCTTGCACTCTGTACGAGTGTAGAAGCACCTCCTTACTTTTTATATTCCAGAGGTCTTGTGATAAAAGAGGGCGCCTTTCATTCCCTTCACACAGCACCAGTTCACACAGCTATTTCTTTGCCCTGAAAGCTCCCTTGATTTGGCTAATGCCATGCCACTACCCGGGCACACAAAAACATACTCAATGTCCAAACCAAATTAATTTTCTATAACACAACACGAATGCAAATGAGCTGCCTCGAAATTAGGTGTAGCTTCTGCTGTGGACTTGCCTCTAAGGGACGCTGGGTTAGAGATGCCTGAAATCCATTTTCATGCAATTATCAGACCAGATATTGTCATCCCATTTGTCTGGGTCAGATGGGACCCCAGTTTCCAGAGGTCAGAATGTAAAGTTTTAATTCACTGTGCCTCGCAGTTTGGGACAAGCTATTAGTAATCCCAATCATTCAAATTACATCAAGCGTTTGAAACAAACACAGGCAGACCATGCCCATATTTTAATTATACAGAGGAAAAGACGATAAGAATTTTCTAGCAGAGCAGAAAACATATCGACCAGGCTTTTGTCCGTGCATTTCTTGAATCGAAATGCAATTCAATTGTGCGATTGTTTTTATAGGTATTCCAAGCACAGATTTGGGATTAGTAAAAAGAGAGCACACCATTATCAGACAATTAACACCAAACACTTTGAAAGGTATCGTCAGCTTAGCCAGTTTTTTTCCCCCTTCCTCCCACTGTCGATTTGTGATTTCCGCAGAGAAGAAAAAGACTGAAAAAGAGATCAAACCTTCAAAACCAGGCAGATTCAATTGTTAATCGGGTTCCCGAATACTCACAAGGTTACCGACGTAGTATAACTGCGTCATAGCTCAATCCAAAGCATTTTCACGGCACAAAGGAAAACAAATTTTTGAAGTGCGCGGAGGCAGCCTCGGTCATCGCTACTGCTCATGATGCAACATGCAGATTGCTTCGTTGGAATACAAAGCGATTACCCAAGAGTCTCCACCCCATAACTCCCAACTTCCTACGTTGAAGTTGCGTGGTCCACCTTGGAAAGAATTTGACCTCTACATCGTAAGCAGAAGAGAAGGCTGAGGTTGTGTTGCTGGCTTGGTTGGAATATCACACATCTCTATAAAACGGCTACTATTTCCAGACTAACAAAGCACAGCGTATTTGGTTCAAGCCACCTCCCGAGTATACGTGATAAATATTTCACACGCAAAAAGAAAAAAGAAAAAAAAAATGCCGAAACACCCCCCCAACCCACCCCCACCCCAAACTTTTTAAGCTTTCATGAAAAATATCTTCATTCCGACCATTTAATGTTAATTCGTATTTCCTTTCAATCCAGAAATTCTTCATGCAGCATCAATCAGAGATTAAAAACTTAAGAGAACAATTCAATATTGATGCGTAAAAGCTTCTACGGTTTTAAAAATAAGATGAAATATTAAACTCTTCGAGAGGATACAGAGCAACAGTGTTACCTTGCTGGTGGATGCCTTGTAAGTGGTCTTCAGTTTCTGAGATAACTGACTGGTACTGTGGCTGGCTGCACAAATGTAAACAGAACCATCATCAGCTGGGTGATGGGAGCTGGACGCACATCCAGCGCTTTTCGAAGCAAAGCTAAAATTCATTTCAGAGCCTTAACGGCGGGAGGGAAAAATAAAAACGAGAGTTGAAGCGCGTCACTTTCCTCTCAAGTCGAGCTGGTCGGATTACTTGCAGCAACTGTTATGGCTGAAGAAGCCAATTCCTAAAAAGCAGATGTGTATTTGGTGCGCGGGGAAAGACAGCGATTCGCATAAAACGTGTGTCCTTCTGCTCCGATGCACCTTTTTAAAAACCCGGCACTGCAAATAATTCAGCAATGGTTAAAGAATTTTTTTTTCTCTCTCTTGCTTTCTAAATAAAAGTTTAAAGCGACGTGAATTCGCACATTTGTCTAACAGCATCGTGCTTCGCATCATAAAGGACTATTTCCTCTTCGGCACTATTTCCTCTGAATACGGTTTGGGCTCCCGACGCGCTTGAACAGTGTGCGACGCAAGTTTTATCGATGTTGCGGAAAGATGCACCTGTTTGCAGGCAAGTAATCGCGCACAGCATCAGTGAAGGAGACCGTTCAGGAGAAGTTTTCACGTCACAACATCAGACATAAAATTCTGATGGTTAATAAACTGCATTTAACGTCATTACCAACAGTGTTGGCGTTTCAAAATGCAAAGGTAAAATCACATTACATTTTTTACTTAATTACAATAAAACTACATTTAAAACACAATAAAAAAAATATAGGAAGTGACATTGCTGAAAATTGAGTGTTTGAGCATTCCACACTACTGAGCCAGTCCAGAACCTTGGAGTCTTGTTTGACCCTCAACTATCCTTTCTATCTTACATCCGAGCAATGACCTGCTCTCCCTTCTCCCACCTCCTCAATCTTGCCCGGCTCCGCCATTGTCTCTCCCTCGAGCCTCATCCGTGTATTTATCACATCTAGGCTCGACTACGCCAACTCCCTGTTTGTCGACCTTCCCAACTCTTCCCTCCACGGCTGCAGATCATCCAGAACTCTGGAGCTCGTGCCCTCTCCTGCACCAGGCTCCGTGACCCCCATCACCCCCACACTCACCCGGCTCCACTGGTTGCCAATGCTCCAGAGGATAGAGTTCAAAATCCTCGCCCTCGCCTTCAAGGCCTTCTACAGCCTTGCTAAACCCATCATCAACACGTCCGCTGCCTCCGCTCCTCAGGTTGTGGCCTGCTCCACGTCCCCTGCCTTGCCCGCCCCACCATCGGTGGCCGGGCCTTCAGCCTCTCTGCCCCTACCCTTTGGAACTTCATCCTACAGTCATAACCAATGGTTAAAAAAAAGGCTATTTGAGATGAGAGGTAATGAGGCCCCTCTTCTTCTTAATCAAAAGGCATCCAGAGCTGATTGCTTTTGGGGGAAGTGTGAAGGAAGTAATGTTCACAGTGACTTCACGGATGGAGGTACGATTGCACCAAAATCTAAATGCATGGCTGCCTGCCGTTCAGGAGGTACAGCTTGGACCATCCCACCCAACCTCACCCCTTCCAAGGAAAAGGGATTCTTGGAACTCCAAAATTCCCATTTAATAGCAGATAGAAATGATATTCCTGGTGCAGCAGGAGTAATGGCTCGGGCCAAAGAGAGGCAAATGGAACTCTTGCTAATTAGGTCTCGCAGCTTGCCTTTAGAGGAAGGTTCCCCGGTAAAAGGGCCAACAGTTTGGTGGTGAACTGGCATGCGATTCAACCAGTTTGTTCCAATCTGCACCGATACATTCACGCTTGATGTCCAATAGCTGCTGCTTTATCCAAACTGATATTCTGTGTACTGAAATATTGCAGCAAATGTAGTAAGCTCAAAAGCTATGCAATTATCATATATTGAATCACTCAATTCATAACATGCAGTCAAATTTGTAATCTATTGTTTAAAAAAGATTGACGGGTAAATAACGTAAATGTAAGTTCAGTCACTCTCATATATATATATATATATGGGATGCGGTAAATCAATCAAAAAGATTAACCTTTTGCCTTCAACGGCCCTTTGCTTAGATCTCCCCCATCTACAGTTTGCCCTTCAGCTGCCAGGCGATCATTCAAAGTCTCAATTTCTCTCCGCACTGCAAAACATAAGAGGGAAGGAAAAACAGTGTACTTTTCATGACACGATCTATAACATTAGACTAAGTAGATTTTAATTTGGGACTGCATTTAAACCTGATGTGAAATACTGCGATGCCAATTGTCCAACAAGTGTCCCCAAAAGTTATGCCTCCTTTCCATCTTCTCAAGATTCTTTAATTCAAAACTTACAAACCCTAACATAGACACAAAAGAGTTTTGAAATTCGCCGGTGCAGTTATTTTTCTGCAAAGCCACCATCACGATCTACACCCTTGGGACAATGTGGAACCAGGGCCAGAATGCGTTACGGTAAAATGATGCGCAAATGGCCTTTCTGGTTTCCTAGTGAAACACGGTTAATCTTCGGTGAAAACACGGAGCACAAACTTTAGAGTTACCAACAATCACCTCTACGGTATGGCGACTGATACCGAAACTCTCACTCAACTCACGTTGAGTGAATCGTCAATCTTTGTGGATCAGTTCATCGACTCTCTGTGTATTCTCTTCGTTAACAGCTGTTGCTGCCTGCCCTACTGTGAGACGCATCTTGAAGTTTAATTTCTCTGCTTTTCACACGATTTACCCAGGGTGTTACAGCACTGGCATAAATCCTCACCTGTCCTTACACTTTCATCATGCATTGGTGAAATCCCCTGAGCTGTGGGAAATTCAATTACCGCTCTCTGCTTAACACGTGCATCAATACTAAGCAGCATCTTGAACTGCTGTAACATGCCTTCGCGACCACATCACTCCCACCCTCGCTCGCCTCCACGCCTCCACCCTTCCCATCCCCCAGAGGATCGAATTCAAGATCCTCATCCTCCTTTCCGACCAACTATCCCCCTACTTACCTGCCCGTACCCTCCGTTCCTCTGGCTCCGGTCTGCTCCACGTCCCCCGCCCCAACCGCCCTACCATCGGTGGCCGGGCCTTCAGCCTCTCAGCCCCTCGGCTCTGGAACTCCATCCCACAGTGCCTTCGCCGCTTCCTCCCTTTCCTCCTTCAAGGCCGGTCTCACGAACTTTCTCTTTGACCGTGCCTTCGGCTCACCTCTCGACTCTCTACCCCCTCCTCGCTCCCTCCCTTCCCTCCCCTCACCCTGACCATATCCCCCCTGCTCGGGTCCTGACCCAACTGTCCAGCGCCTTGGGACGTCCTCCCGACGTGAAAGGCGCTCTATAAATGAAATCTTGTTGTTGTTGCCTTCAGCTAATTAGAAGTAAGCAAAACATTCGCAGCAGTGGCAGGATGTATAAAAGTATCTTGTGTATGTTTTCAGTACTGTACCACTTACCATTCGTCACAAAATAAATAGGAGGCTTAACTTTTTGCAAAGGTTTCTTTGTACAAAATCATTAAGAAGCCCAATGAAGAAAAAAAACACATAAAGCAGTTACTTTGCATACATAGCGAGATAAATCCCAACATAACTGATAAAACTAACCGGGTTTTCACTACAAACTATATCTTGTCAGAAACATGTTCACAGAATTTCACAAGTTCAACTACTTAAATACTGCAGCTTCTGCATCTGATAATTTATAATGAAACGCCCTGTGCCTGGCAGGTCCCCAGTTCTCTAGGACCGCGCTAATGTCGGGCCAACTGGTCTGGATTGTAAGCAGGACCTGGCCATTACTATCCTTGCTACTCAGTTCCTGTTAACCATGCAAGCCAAAGGCCTGAAAGGTAGAGTATTGCAAGCCAAATTTAGCAAAATTTGTCAGTCTTCGCCATGGCACTCTGCGCAGTGTTAGCGGCTGAGTGTACTCTGCTACAACAACAACAACAGCAAAGTTACGGCGCTCCGGGATGCTACCCCGTGTGAAGGGCGCTATGTAAATGCAAGTTGTTGATGTCAGAGTACGCTAAGCAGCTAAAACGGCGCAGCTCACCATTGAATCGCCAATCCCCATCGGCTCCTGACAAACTCCACCTAATACTGTCCAGACGCGGTGAGCAGCGTGGTTCGCTCGGGAGTAGAAAGTGTAGACTCCATTCAAAACAAGACAACATTTCCACACCCGTGAGGAGCTTTCAGCAGTCCAGTTTGGATACTCTCACGCATGGTGATGGATTTCCGTGTGTGTTCAGATACCCGGCCCACCCCCCCCAAAAAAAAATTAACGATAAATTGTTCAATAAATATGTACAATTACAGATAGTATTACAGCACAGAAGTAGGCCAATCAGTCCAACGAGTCTGTGTCGGTGTTTATCCTCCACATGAGCTCCCACTCCTCTGAATTCCCTCTCCCAAATATTCTATATTCCCTTTGCCCTTGTACACGCATCAACAAAATAACAACAACTTGCTTTTGTATAGCACCCTTCACGTGGGTAGGGTCAGAGCATACATACACAAAATACAACACAGCCTTATTTCTTGCAGTAAATCACAATGGAATAATAAGATGTTGCCCAACATATTTAGAAGAATTTAGAAGCCAAGGTTTATAAGATCCTGAGGTTTCCCACATTTTACCAAGTTGTCTTTCGAGTGAAGGTGTTAAAAATGCCTGCGTACGTCGGTCACTTACATTCTAAATTTTCGATGTACAGATTCTCAAATTCTCGTTCAATCTGCCCAAATAGTTCCAGCAAAGTTTGCCGAATCGATGGTGGCAGTTTGGAATCCTAGAGGCAAGACAGACAGACAAGGAGAAAGTGAATTAAAAATAGTCGTACATTTTCTGGTTACTCGTTGAAGCAATATTTAACAGATCAAGCTGTTCAAAACCTCACCTCACCAGCCTTTTTTTTTCCTGTCAAAGACGCATCGTTTTAATTCTAATGTGTAGTGATTATTTATGGATAAATGCAGCAACTGATTTGTGCATGGTAATGTTCCACCATCAACCAAACAGTGAACGACCATTTGTTTCTGGAGGACATTTGGATTTTCGAATAGTGTCAGCTGAACAGGCAGACTGGACCTTGTTTTATCGTCTTATTTGAAAGATGGCACCTTCAAAAATGAAATCCACCCCTTGCACTGGATTGGAGCGTCAGCTTGGACTGTGAATTCAAAGTTCTGGAGTTCTGTAGCTCAGTGGTTCGAGCACTCGCCTCGCAAGCGAGAGACCTGGGTTCGATTCCCGGCAGGGGGCGAAACCTTGGGGAAGTTTCCTTACTCCACATGCCTGATAATAATCCCTCGAGGAAAAAAAATAATAATATAGTTGGTCACTTCAATCCGTGACTGTTTGTGGGACACTGCTGTGCGCAATTGGCTGTTGTGTTTCGCCCACAAATATACAGTCAATTCACTTTACAATATGCTCTGTGAAGCGATTTGAGATGTCTAGAAGACGTGAAAAGGGCTATTTCAAATGCAAGGATTATTTTTTATTATTATTACTGAGGTGGTGGGGGCTTGAACCCACAATCTTCTGACACAGAGCTGAGAGTGCTACCAACTGAACCAGGCTGACAAACATATGCTGACATGGCAGGAAGGGCAGATGGAAATGACAGCTCATCAGCCAAGGAGGAAGTATACAAAAGGAAATATAATTCACGGAGATTCTACAAATTTACATCAAATGATCTTTTACTGCAAACGTGCACGTGCAACACTTATAAAACCAACAATGAGGTGGGCAACCAGAGTAATATTGCGGGGTGATTTGGGATGAAATAACATCCAAGGTGACCAGGGGGAACAAAAAAAGACAGAGGACTCAGTTTTCTTTTAGTAACAACTCTTTCTACGCATGTGCACAGGGAAGACAGTAGCACTGGTTGGGAAATTCTGCGTCCCTCTGTTATAACGGGGCTCCACGATATAGCCCTTCGAGCATAACAGCATTTGTACCACAATCGTCAGTTAGCGCTGTCATGTAAAATAAATGTCTGAAAGGGCTTCACTTAAGACAATGGATAAGAAATGAATCGAATGTTACTCAGGTAAACAAAACACCTCACCTACACTAGCAACGTCTCAAACAACGGGATGAGACATCTCAAGACCCTCCCTTCGACCGTGCCTTCGGCCACTCTCCTACCCTCTCTGCCCTCCATCCCCACCTCCCTCCGCCCCGTCCCCCACCTCTCCCTCCCCGCTCGGGTCCTAATCCCTGACTGTTCAGCACCTTGGGACATCCTCCCGTCATGAAAGGCGCTTTACAAATGTAATTTGATATTGTATGAGCAGCCAATTTAAATGGCGAGATACATTTGGATTTGGAGGGGGAAAATCAGCCAGGATAACAGGGAGAAAAATGCCACGTTTCTTTTCATTCACAAATAACTGACAACTAGAATTTGTTTTACCCCAAAATATTCTTCTCTATTGCTCTTGGCTATTAACGTGGGTTGCGGAAGGTTCCCTCCCTACATCGAAAGCATGCAATTTGGCAACAGAGTTTATTTTATATTAATACAAGTTTATACGAATAAAAAGCTTGTGTTTCACATGCGTCCAAGTCTGACCACCGGACTACTGACATTTGACATTTATGATATCACACAGTCCCTTTGTTTCCAAGTGTAGAATTTAATTGGGTAACGCTAAATTTTAGTCAACCTTGTATTTACATCTGTGGATATTAGGTCTAATTGACGATAGTATAAGTATATGTATGTATATCAATAATGCATGTACCCACAGATTGATCCCATCATATATATATATATATATATATAGTTAGTATTAAGGAAAAGTTTTAAAGCCACAATGCTGATAGTTGAACATCTTCACAGTTCCTTTCTGAATGTTTGAAAACTAGAACAGTTGACAATTCTTAACATACTGTCCTTTACGCTATATTTCAAATAATGGAAAGAATGCAAGGATTATCATTATCTTTGAAACCGTACGTCAGTATGCGTCAATGGACTGAGGAGAGAAAGGAGAGAGCTGACAAGTGGAAAGAAAAGCAATTTTAACGTTTAAACAAAAGCAACAAAGAACTGAGAGAAAAGGATTAGTTAAAAAAAAAAGACCCTGAAGATTAGTTATAATGCATTTGGTCCTCCCTTCCCTCAAAAAAAAACCACCCTGTAGTATCAAGTTGAACACGGAGAGAACTCTGGCATAACGGATCCAGGGTTTTGTAGTGTGCAGGTCTTGGGAGGACTTTAATGATTTTCATCTTCCTCACAATTTTAATGGTTGAGCGGTCTGGAAAGGTATTAGCCAGGTTAATTAATATTTAAGGTGTTTTAGCCTTTTGATAACCTTGGAAATAGCAGTCATCAGCGAAGATTACCGATGAGTTACCGTGTTGGGTAGCAAATTACACTCAGATTCAGGAGCCATCTGGTTCTGGGTGGGAGGTAAGACATGGGAACATCTTTATGTGCCTTTTTCAGTTCTCACGTACAGCGGGCACCACAAATACCATTCCCAGCCATGTTACACAAGACACTGCTGCTCGCGTAACACAATGCAGGGCTGTGCCAATCGAGCTCCCATGGTGCTGCCAATGGATAAATATTTTATAAGGTTTTGATAACTTTGCAGCCTAAACTACAGTGCCGCACTTCATTGACAAACCAGAGCGACTGAAATTAGGCACAGGCCCCAGAGTAATAAAACGCCAGTACAAATTAAGATGCAATCTGATTTTATGCAAGTATTGGATCTACCCCTTGAAGAGAAGATATTGCGAACACCGCACAACAAAGCACATTGTCAGATCTCTCTCTCTCTCACTCACTCACACATGCACAGACTACACAAATCCACACACGCACACACACATATATATCAAATACGAGGATTGCCATCGTATAGTTAGGAGAGTCAGTCAATATACAAAGACACAACCTTTTTATTAATATGAACAGCGAGCAGGGCAGCTAAAAGACATGAAGGAGAAATTGCCCTGCCTGGCTCTAGATTTATTCTATTTCTATGTGGCATCTCAAAGCATCCCGAATTTGGCAAATTGTTAAATATTGCCTTAATTTTCAAGCTGATATTCTGCAAGTTCTTTTGTGAACCGGAGAAAATCAACTTCAAACAATAAATTCAATCATTTTCTAAAAGTCTGGATGCTCCATAAATGCTACAAAAATAGATCTAGACCCAAGTGGGATTTTCCTCCAATAAATGGCATAAACATTCAGAGTGAAAGGCCCAGGGCCTTCAACTCACAACGTGATGTGATATAATCGTCACCAAAAGAGGAAGCCTTGGGAATTAATGATAAAAGCTTATTACTACAAATTCTAGCCTTTAATAGCACACGTTTCACATCAGGAGGACGTCTCAAAGCGCTTCGCAGGGGTTACGGTGAAGTGTAGCGACTGCAGAGATCATAACCGCAGCAGCCAATTTACGCTCAACAATGTCGCACAAACAGCCGTAAAATGAAATACCAATTTTAAAAGTAATGAAGTCAGCCTATGCTGCTGTAGGTATGAAGCAGGACTCGCAGAAATCTGGGCGCAGGTTAGCGTCCTATTCGCTCAGTTGGGCAAAATAAAACTAAAACACTGTTAGACAAAAAAGGGAAATCAACCTCACAGAGCACAGCAAGTGTCAGATTGCTAAAAAAATCATAGAATTGTCAAGCCGTTAATTTTTAATTCTTCTCTCTCTCTCCCTCTCGTCTACATATAATAATAATAATCCTTGCGTTTGATGTAGCGCTTTTCACGTCTTCTGGATGTCTCAAAGCGCTTCACAGAATAGACTGTAAAGTGAACTGACTGTATATTTTGTGGGCGAAACGCAGCAGCGTCCCCACAAACAGTCGTGGATTGAGTGACCAAATTATCATTGCTTTTTTGAGGGATTATTATCCCCAGAAAAGCGATCCGCCAACCAACTAACAACCGGGTTCCTACTCACTGCTGGGTAAACAGGCGTGTGGAGTAAGGAAACTTGCCCAACATTTCGCCCATCGAACATCGAACCCAGGTCCTCCCGCTCGCTCTAACTACTGAGCTACAGGACTCTCTCAGCAACCGAAACAATAGTTCTGGTCTTTGTTCGGGTTTCTTCAGAAAACAGCGGACAAGATACGTCTTTTTAAAATGTCGCAGTCCTCTTATTCAGTGCTGAAGCAGTTTGGGAGTGCTTCATTCGGTTTAGCTGCAACTTTCTTTGGATGTTTTCTCAAGTCCACCTCGGGGCCAGATTGCAAAGGCGAAAGCAGTCTAACAAATTCCTGAAGCTGATGTGTGAAAAAAAAAATGGGCATTTGCAGCTGACCAAAATATTATTCAGCGCACGATAACTAAAGCGCCCAACGGCCAAAAAGAAATAAGCGGGTTGCTACAAGCGATTCTGGAAATTTACCAAAGAAAGCGCTTGCATTTTTACAGGCACTCTAGCACGTCAAAACATCTCAAAAGTATTTTACAGCAATTACTGTCAAACACGGTGACTGCATGAGCCAAAGCAGCAGCCATTTTCGATACCACCAATATCCTACAATCAGCCATGGAGGATTATTGATCACCCATACATTTGATAATAGCACCTCTCACTCACGTCAGGAGTACGTCATTAAGCACTTCACAGGACAGACTGTAAAATGCAATGACTGTGCATTTTGTGAACAACGCGGCAGCTTATCTGCGCACAACAATATCCCACAAACAGCCTTGAAGTGAATGAGCAATTCTATTTGTTGGCCAGAACACCAGGAGAAACTCCCTTCTCTTTTCAAATAGTACTGCGG